CTTGGCTTTCTTGCTCAGCACTGACCCCACAGCATTGAAGTTCTTGTCTCGGATTTCGGCATAAAGCTCTTCTGCAGAGTTCAGCTGGAGCTTCTTGGGTTCTGTGGGGAGATCTTTCCCACCCTCCCCCTGCTTCTTCGGGGCAAACTTCTCAGGAGGGAGTTTCACATAAGCTACCAAATGAAGAGAAATAACCCTTGTAAGGACTGGAACTTCATCAGCAGAAGTTACGATCAGCAGGCTGTGGAAATGTGTCCTGGAAATGTGAGCTGGAAACAGCTCTGAGTAGCAAAGCAATATTAACACTCAAACCACTCAGTGCCTGTGTGTTAATGAAGGAGGTCACTGCACTCAGCCAGGGACCTACACAAACATCAGAACCCAAGTGCCAGCTGCCCTGCTTTCAGAGAGGCTTGGAGCCAGCCCAGCAGCCAGTCCAGCCCAGCAGGAGGGATTACAGCCTATAAATGCCTCTCTGGATTCCTCTTACCCCCTGATGAGCAGGACAGCGTTCTGAAAATGGCATTTCACAAACTGTCCCTGTCCCCTCAGTGTGGCACGTGATCCAGGCAGGATGAATGCTGAAGGCACACACTAACATTCCCACTCACACACTCCCAGGGAGTGCCTGCTCCCAAAAGATGCCCTTCAGTAACCACAGACTGTACTTGGCTCCCCTTCCCAGGCAAAAAGAGCCAGAGTGGATCTTGATGGGCTCCAGCTCAGGACTGAACAAACCCCACATTGATCTCAGCTGAGCTGCTCCCACAGCACATTTAGTGAAGCACAAACCCACCCAACACGCTGCAGCTGCCCCTGCAGGACACGGGAAACACATCCCTTCCCCACAGGACTCACTGTTCTGGATGCCGTAGATCTCGTCAATCAGCCCCTCGTACGTCAGCTGCGTGGCCAGCGGGCTCAGCAGGTCCACATTGCGGTCCAGCAGCAGGAGGGTATCAAAGACAGGAAATATGGAATTCTGGCTCCCAGGGAACTCACGCTTCATCCTGATCATCATGTTGGCCACGTGCTGCAAGGAAATCGCATCGCTCTGGTCAGGGTGCTGGGAAAGGAAGGGGATGGCAGGAGGTACAGACTGGCTGATGGATGGGGCAGGACAAGACTGAAAAAACGAAAGTCCTTCTCTGCTGCTCAGCAAGACAGCGATGTCCAAAACACTGCATTCATCTCAAGCTGCTCCCTCACCACAAAAATACCAATTAAACCACAGGTTGATCAGAGAGAAGCAAAAAGGATGTGCATGTGTCGTGGCTGGATTAATAAAACCTAGAGGTGCATTTAACCAAACACTCCTTAAGGCAGTTCCAAAGAAAATCCATTTGTTCAGCCTCACCCGAGCACAGTCGCCCTTCCCAAAGATCTGCGGGATGGTTCCGTAGAGAGCCTGCAGTGTCATCAGCCCCTTTGCTGCATGGTACAGACTGGTCTGGTCACTCTCCAGGTAACATTCCTAAAGAACAAGAGGGATTCTGATGGGAGGTGTCAATCCAATACAGCTGCCTCCACAGCACAGCAGGGACTATGTGAACAGTTCAGAAGAGACACAGGCTGGGGACAAACTGTGGCTGTTGGCATATATGGACCTTATTACCTGTGCTGTCACTACCTCAAATCATTTTTTTGATGACTAGACTCTAGTATTTTTGAACTCTGGACACAAATCCAGTTTGATGGAGTAAAAGAAAGTGACTGGAAGGAATCTCTCCTGCTAATTAGACCAATGTGAGCACCCAACACCTCATTACAGCTACAAGCCCTGACTCATCCTCTGGGCTACACATAGGACAGAGAGGGCCAAGAAGCTCCCAAACTGTTCTGTCCATGGATGCAGCACTCTGGGAGTGCAGGACATGCAGCTGGGATGTGACAGCTGTTACTGCTCAGTGCAGTGAGAACCATCACACACAGCTCCCTGGCTGTGCAGGAACACAAACCAAGCTGGCTCCTTGTGACAAGTGAGTGCTTCAAGCCTCAGGAATGCTCCATTTGTGACAGTAACACCAGCAGCTGAAGCTGGAGGAACTGGGGTGCAGCTCAGTGTAGTGACTCTTCAGCATTTAGTATGAAAACACACAGGGAAGTTCGGGCTTCAGGATCAAGCCAGGTTTGCTCTGCAAGGCCTTTCCTTGTGCAGGTCACTCACAGACCCTCTGAGGGCTGCTGCACCAGCACCAGCATCCAGCACAAAAACACTTTCTGCTTTTCCTCGAGGCATGTGCACACCTTGAAGGCGCTCTCAGACTCCATGGAGAGCAGGTCTCCGTCGAAGGGGATCAGGTCCAGGCTGTACTGCTCGCGGTGGATGAAGGAGCCCAGCACGCCCTGCTCCTTCAGCCACTGCTCGCAGAGGAGGCTGCGGCGCGGCACGAACAGGATATGGAAATCCCTCTGCGGAGAGCGGCCTCTGTCTTCCCTGCAAAAGTCACGGCAGGAGCAGAGCACTCGGTCACTCACCGCACCCAGAGCAGCACACACCACGGGCAGGGGGCACTGGGTTCACACAACAGGAATGCTGCACTGGGTTATTGCCGACTCCTGGATTTTGAGTGCCGGCGTTCAGCCTTGTGCAGCCACAGCCCTGCCACCAGGGCAGGGGGACGTGGCTGCCCTGCAGCTCCCAAAAGGCGCAGCAATCCAAGCATGACTCATTCCAGCGAATTAGAAGGAGTGCAAGTCCTCGCAGGGAGGAACGCACTCTGTGCATCGCAGCCAAGGTGAAACCCCCGTGCCCAAGGTGCGGGCCACAGAGTGGCTGTGCTGCAGTTCGGTGTTTGCAGATCGCGCCTCGTTCCCTGCACAGGTGTAACAAACCACACGGTGATTCGGGCCACACCTGTGCCCTCCTGACAGCGGCCTCCCCGCGGTACCTGAGCACGTTGTCCGTGATGATGTCCATCAGCTCCAGCTTGGGCCTGACGAAGAAGATGATGTTCTTGACGTCAGCCGGGGGCAGCCGGCCCGGCTTGAGCGTGAACATCTTCTCCACCTCATGCTCCTGCGCGGAGGCACGGCCGTCAGCAGAGCGCGGCAGCGCCGGGGCCCGGCCGCCCGCCCCCGGCCCGCGGCGCTTACCTTGAGCAGCGAGTACTGCGCGATGAGCCCGAAGGGGCCGGTCAGGTACTCGTCCCACACAATGGCCTGCGGGAA